ACAGGGTCAAGTATGATTAATAGCAGAGCTTGTTGACTGGACTCTGTTTCCACCTCTGCTTCCAACACCCTCCAATGAACACTCACATGCCTGTGTACTATTGGAAGAGGCAAAGCCACCACCTTGTATTTAACAAATCCTAAATAGGTGCAGTAGTAATACACACAATAGTCCAGAAAATCCCCCCTGGAATTCTAGCTAGTAGCATGTATTTTGTTTCAATCAGCATAAAGTATCTCACCAGCCAGTCCATCGGCATATAAGCAAAACAAGTTAAAGGGCACAACCCATATATGGTCACTGGCAGTATGAGCAACATTAAGAAGGATGAAAGTCGTTAGCTTGTTTCACAGTATAATTGCTATGTTATCAACTGAAAGATTTATTTTTAATTAGAGTAGATAAAAATAATTAACTATAGGCCACACTGTCTAAGGCCAGGAGCTCGGGGATCCTAATCCTAGCTTTGCCACCATTGCCTGCATGACCTTCAGCAAGTCACCTCATGCCTTCGTTTCCCCATTTTTAAAAGAAGGATTACACTGTCTTACTCACACGGGCAACTGAAAACTAGTTAATGTTTCACAGAGCTCTGAAGATGTAAGAACTACACAGTCACTATGTAACCTTATTACTGACTGTGCAAAGGAACAAAAGAAAAGAGATTACGGGGCAGAGGTAAAATATTGTTTTAATAATTACAGACATTTTCCATACAAAAGTGAATGAGCAAAGCATAATTCCAAACCTAATGTCATTCTTACTAGTCATTCTACCAGCACACTTTCTAATTAACATTCTGTCATAAACCCAGCCTTAACTAGTACTAGATTAAACATAATAAATATTAACGTACCAATGCTGTAAAGGCTAGAAAATAGACCTCAAATCACAAGATGACCCTGATGTTAAACAATGCAGAATGGGCAAAAGTTTGTGGATTGGTCAAATCCAGCAAACAGCATAGTGAGAATGGAAAACAGCAAGAAACTGGCATGAATTACAAATAAAAGGAATTTAATAGCACAGTCTTAACAAGCAAACCAAAAAGCAGAGGACTCTGAACCAGCACACTCATAGCTAAAAAGCTCTATTACAAAAGTATTAAGCCAGAAAAATGTGTCTCAGAATACAGGTTATTTATTCTTCATGATAATCCCCCACACACTTCTTTGATTTAACATAGCAATAACAATTTATATTCCAGTTGTAGGTTTTCTTACGAGCAGCCTGCAACTACAGTACAATCATTGGTACTATGTGTGCTCTTCCTAGGTATTTCAGGATGCATACACAGTAGACAGCACCCACATCCTAAGATGGCAAGATGTGGAGTTTTATTCAGGTGCCCTACTGATGATGGCAAGTGTAAGAGAGGATGGGGTGGTCAAACTGCAGCCTGTAGGCTACATGAGCCGAGGACAATGTCCACCTTCTTCTTCAGCATTTGTGGGATTCACTCACCCTGCTGGTATTACAGGACGCAGCATGCAATGCTTCAGCTTGCCCTACACAGAAAGCAGCTCTGCTACAGATGGAGCACTGCATGCTGGGACTTGTCATCTCCACAGACCACCCCTTCTTATTAAAAATAAAGGTAGCTGCTATTTGCTCCATGCCAACTAGGTACTCGTAACTTTCAACACGTTGCCAATATAGGACTTGGGCAAATCTGAGCCCCCAACATAGGGAAATGCATAGGCGCCTTCCTGGTGTCAATGGCTGTCACATAGCTACCTCCCGCCAGAGTTAAAGTGCTGGAAACATAACCAAACATTTTAAAGAGAAACAAAATTCAGTCTGTTTGCTTTAAACAAACTAGAAGTAAGAAACCCAGGGAGGGGTTCAAAGGCCAACCAGCTGAAATGTGAGGAAATAATCACAGGTAAACAGTGAATTCAAATGTACAGAGAGCTTTTCAATTATGGCATGTAGCTTGTTAATTAGTGAGAGGAGCAGGGCCGGTGCAAGGATGTTTCGCGCCCTAGGCGAAACTTCCACCTTGAGCCCTCCCCAAGCCCTGCGGCAGCCCCCCCCCCCCCCCCCGTTACTTGCTGCAGGCAGCCCTCCCCGCACCACCCTGCCCCAGCTCCCTCCGCCTAAATGCCAACGACGACCGGGGTGGCCAAAGATCCAGCCGCCACAGTCGCCACCGAAGAAAATGCTAGCGCCCTAGGCGACCGCCTAGGTCGCCTAATAGGTTGCACCGGCCCTGGAGAGGAGCACTACCCAAAGAGATGCCAGGAAAGAATCAAGATGACAAATGTAATGCTAATGTGCCAAAGCTGCATAGCTCTGACAGGTGCACTGATATATGGCAAGGTCTCAGAAAAATCACCCGCACATAGGAACTTACTGTGATAACATCAAGAATGCTGAGGAGGCTGTGAACACTATCCCCTGCCAGCACTTCTTTAACGACTACTTCAGTGCCATCCTACAGATAGACAGAAGGAGAAGATTAACGGCTCGTATTCCATCACCAAGTTTAAATGGGCCAATACAGGCAGGCCCATGCTTCAAAAAAAATGGCTGTTCAACTCTCGCATTCTAATTTTGCAAGATAACCTAAGTACCACCTAACAGTGGAATTCACCGAGCAGAACTAGACCCAAGGGTGATTCTCCTTGTGCCTCCTGGAATTGTACTGATCCATTCTGAGGTTTTGAACACCACTTTCACTTTGAGTGATAGAAGCAAAGGTCACCTGTGGCACTGGAACCCAGCAGATGGTAGCAAAGGCACCTAGCAGAGGATTTAAAAACACCAACACTATTTATTTACTTTAATTCATTTCAGATTTACATGGGGTGAGATGCAAGTGACAGCCCTGCTTTCCCTGTATCCCATCATCTCTTCTATCCTTCACTTTGCAGAAACTTTGCCATCCTCTTTGAAAGGCTGTGATGTTGCTGAGCATTGCAACACACAGAACAGCTAAACAGTAAAGGTAACCTGTTTTAGTTTCATTGCTGTTACTTCACAGGTCTGATACCTTTTAATTTGTTTTAACACATGAAGGGAAAGAGATTGTCATTAACAGTACCTCTCTCACTAGAAATGCAGACATGGAAGTCACAAGGCTGGCAAACTACACAAAGTATACTTAACTTCTTTTAGACTGGAGATTGAGATGACATTATGTCACACTAGGCTGTAACGCATGGGATTTTATTTTTTGTGCATACAATTTGATATGCCAATAAGTGCATTTTATAAACTGAAAAATAAATTACTGTTGATGACCATGTATCAGATGGGTAGCCGTATCCACAAAAACAACGAGGAGTCCGGTGGCACCGTAAAGACTAACAGATTTATTTGGGCATAAGCTTGCGTGGGTAAAAAACCCACTTCTTCAGATGCATGGAGTGAAAATTACAGATACAGGCATAGATATACTGGCACATGAAGAGAAGGGAGTTACCTTACAAGTGGAGAACCAGTGTGGACAAGGCCAATTCAGTCAGGGTGGATGTGGTACACTCCCAGTAATTGATGAAGAGGTGTCAATACCAAGAGACAGAAAATTGCTTTTGTAGTGAGCCAGCCACTCCCAGTCCCTATTCAAACCCAAATTAATGGTATTAAGTTTGCAAATGAATTGTAGCTCTGCAGTTTCTCTTTGAAGTCTGTTTTTGAAGTTTTTGTGTTGAAGGATGGCTACTTTTAAATCTGTTATTGAATGTCTAGGGAGATTGAAGTGTTCTCCTACTGGCTTCTCTACGTTACCATTCCTGATGTCTGATTTGTGTCCATTTATTCTTTTACGTAGAGACTGTCCGGTTTAGCCAATGTATATGGTAGAGGGGCATTGCTGGCACATGATGGCATATATCACATTAGTAGATGTGCAGGTGAATGAGTCCCTGATGGTGTGGCTGATGTGGTTGGGTCCTCTGATGGTGTCGCTAGAGTAGATATGGGGACAGAATAGGCAACGCGGTTTGTTACAGGGATTGGTTCCTGGGTTAGTGTTTCTGTGGTGTGGTGTGTAGTTGCTGGTGAGTATTTGCTTCAGGTTGGGGGGCTGTCTGTAAGCAAGGACTGGCCTGCCTCCCAAGGTCTGAGAGAGTGAGGGATCATTTTCCAGGATTGGTTGTAGATAGTTGATGATGTGCTGGAGAGCTGGGGGCTGTACATGATGTTCTGTTATTTTCCTTGTTGGGCCTGTCCTGTTGTAGGTGATTTCTGGATACCCGCCTTGCTCTGTCACTCTGTTTCCTCATTTCCCCAGGTGGATATTGTAGTTTTAAGAATGCTTGATAAAGGTCTTGTAGGTGTTTGTCTCTGTCTGAGGGATTGGAGCAAATGCGGTTGTATCTTAAGGCTTCGCTGTAGACAGTGGATCACGTGATGTGTCCTGGATGGAAGCTGGAGGCACGTAGGTAAGTATAGCGGCCAGTAGGTTTCCGGTATAAGGTGGTGTTTATGTGACCATCGCTTATTTGCACTATAGTGTCCATGAAGTGGATCTCTTGTGTGGACTGGTCCAGGCTGAGGTTGATGGTGGGGTGGAAATTGTTGAAATCCGGGTGAATTCTTCAAGGGCCTCCTTCCCGTGGGTCCATATGATGAAGATGTCATCAATGTAGCGCAAGTAGAGGAGGGGCGCTACGGGACGAGAGCTGAGGAAGTGTTGTTCTAAGTCAGCCATAAAAATGTTGGCATACTGTGGGGCCATGTGGGTACACGTAGCAGTGCCACTGACTTGAAGGCATAAGTTGTCCCCAAATCTGAAATGGTTGTGGGTGAGGACAAAGTCACAAAGCTCAGCCATGGCCTCATCAGGGATACTGTTCCTGACAGCTTGTAGTCCATCCTCATGTGGAATATTGGTGTAAAGAGCTTCTACATCCATGGTGGCCAGGATCGTCTTTTGTATGAGAGTCTCCAGTTTTGAGAGCTCATTCTTGATCTTCTCCTGGTTGCTGTACAGGATGCTGATCAGGTGGTTCCTCAGTTTCTTGAGAGTGTGTGGCACAATCTCTCACCACAGTCAATGTAGTATGTCGATTGCAATGGATCTTTTGCCTTCAGTCCATCTGGTATGATGTCCATCTGTTTGCACTTGGAGAGGAAGATGATGTCTGTCTGTATCTGTGCGAGTTTTTTCATTAAGTTGATGGATTTCCACTTCATACGGCTAAATTCAGTGCCTTGCATGGTGCCAAGTACCTAGCTATCTTTGAGACACCACTGACTTCCTGAGGAAACTACAATGCATTGGTGATCTTCCTGAAAACACCATCCTGTATCTGTAATTTTCACTCCATGCATCTGAAGAAGTGGGGCTTTTTACCCATGAAAGCTTATGCCCAAATAAATCTGTTAGTCTTTAAGGTGCCACCGGACTCCTCATTGTTGATGACCATGTTGCCGAATGCACTGGCTCTCAATCTTTCCAGATTACTGTACCCCTTTCAGGAGTATTGCTATTAGCCAGGATGGTCATTGGCTATTAGCCAGGATGGGCAGGGATGTTGTCCCTAGCCTCTGTTTGCCAGAAGCTGGGAATGGGCGACAGGGGATGGATCACTTGATGATTACCTGCTCTGTTCATTCCCCCTGGGGCACCTGGCTTTGGCTACTGTCAGAAGACAGGATACTGGGCTAGATGGACCTTTGGTCTGACCCAGTATGGCCATTCTTATGTACTTATGAGTCTGATTTGTCTTCCGTACGCCCAAGTTACACCTCACTTAAAAACTACTTGCTTACAAAAATCAGACATAAAAATGCAAAAAAGTGTCACAGCATACTATTACTGAAAATTGCTTACTTTCTCATTTTTACCATATAATTATAAAATAAATTGATTGGAATATATATATATATATATATATATATAATATCTTACTTACATTTCAGTGTACAGTCTCTAGAGCAGTATAAACAAGTCATTGTCTGTATGAAATTTTAGTTTGTACTGACTTCACTAGTGCTTTTTATGTAGCCTGTTGTAAAACTAGGCAAATATCTAGATGAGTTGATGTATCATTTTTTTTAAATACATGGAGATATCCTATCTCCTAGAACTGGAAGGGACCTCGAAAGATCATCGAGTCCAGCCCCCTGCCTTCACTAGCAGGACCAAGTACTGATTTTGCCCCAGATCCCTAAGTGGCCCCCTCAAGGATTGAACTCACAACCCTGGGTTTAGCAGGCCAATCCTCAAACCACTGAGCTATCCCTTCCCCCTCTCCCCCCCCGGTATCCCCTGGAAGACCTCTGAGTACCCCCAAGGGTACATATATCCCTGATTGAGAACCACTGGCCTAATGAATTATAGGCTGCCAGAAAGCTTAACACATGCCTTACAGGAGCTAATACAGCCTGTTCCAAGTTATTACATGGAGATGTTTATCTCTAGCCATATGCTATCCTAATAAGAGATTTATCAAAAGAGTCAGTGGCTAGGCTTATCCTTACACTTTCTTGAATGCAAACTTCTAGCTTGCCATCCTGCACGACGTAGATGCTGTTATCCAGCTGCCCGGGACGGAAGATGTATTCGCCTTCATGCAGTTGCACAAAAAACATGTGCTTGCACAGCTCCAGGAAGAGAGGCTTCTCAAAATGGCCAAGAACCCTGCAGGAAAGCAAAGGATCAGTGACACCTTCTCTGCTGCAAAAGGAAGCTTGCAGATGCCGAGGTGCATGACAGTCCTCCCTAAACTAGCAAAGCCTCATGGTACCAATACTGTGGGAATCCATGAGGTAACCTGGCAGTCCCATGCCATATGCAGCCACATGAAGGACAGAACTTTCTGAGCCAGAAGAGCAGGAGCACTGTGTGACCCTTGCAGGGATGGAAAGATTTGGGATTGCTTTCAAGCAAGGCCCTCTGGTCAGCACTCTGCGTGATGCTGATGGGCTCAAAGGCATCCACAACCTGCCCTCCTCAGCCAAAAGTTGATGTGTGGCCTTTGAAGGTGGGAATGCGGAGAAGAACGTCAGAAAGGTCGTACTGGGTCAGACCAATGGTCCATCTAGCCCAGTATCCTATCTTCCTACAAAAAGCAACAGAGAGTCCTGTGGCACCTTTAAGACTAACAGATGTATTGGAGCATAAGCTTTCGTGGGTGAATGTCCACTTCGTCGGATGCATATCACATGCATCCAACGAAGTGGGCATTCACCCATGAAAGCTTATGCTCCAATACATCT